TGCAGCAATGGGTTAGTTATTTCTCACCGTCTGTGAATCGTGGGAACTACTTACTCCATAACCAATAAAGTACATGATCAAGATACCCCACTCGATGGCAAGCTGCTGGATGATGATAATGCGACCCCGAGTATCCTATATAGCTCGTTAGCGAGTGGTAGTGGTTCCCAACACGAAGTCTCAACCTACTCGTGGGGCAATCTCTGCGAGATAAACAGGTACTTGAGAAGAGGTGATCCCGACACAAACACCGTTCAGGATACGGCCAGCAATCAACGAGCCTACTCCGGTGGTAGCAACTTGGACCGCAGTTCCAGCTAGCCACCAAATACAGGCAAACATGATACTACAAGACGTGAGTTTCAACTCCAGTAGATACTAGTAAGGAGCTCAGACATACCTGTCACGTCGGCCAAACTTGTCCGAAATAGGACCGGCCATTAAACTACCAATGACAGATCCAGCGGCAAGAGCAGACCCAATGGCTCCTTGGGTGAGGCCAGAGGGGTTGTTGAAGTAGTTAATATATTGGTCGGTAATGACGATGGCAGACATGGACGAGATATCGAAACCGAAGAGCATACCGCCCACGGTGGCGACAATCGCCATGAAGTAAGTGTTTGCTAAGACGTGTAAGCATTGCGCGCATATAATTCTATCAACTGCTATTAGCTGACGTACTGATCTTTGGAAACCTCGACATCTTGATCGCTTTCCTCGTAGGTCTGTCACGAGGGAAGAAAACAAGCTCTGGCGCGTGAAGGCAAAGTCGAGTAAGAAGAATAGTAGTTTGGGGAACAACAATACATGTTGGTGGAGGAGTGAACCCTTCATATATTAAAGCTCACTTGCATACGTCCCAATGACACCCAAAGTTGCTTCCTGTCATGGCCATCGTACGCTTACTGCGTAGCATGGACAATCTTGGGCCCATTCGGTGATTTTCCGCCGTGCAGGGGACAGCACCCACCCTGCCACCGGGCCATAATCCATATGAGGAGCTAGAGCTTTCAAAAGCTACCGGTGTAAAGTCGCAATGCGGAGTGCAGATGAGGACGGGCTGCTATAGGTGCAGAAATTGACCCCCAGGTGAGCTTGGCCATTAGGTTCGACGTCACATTCGTTTCTAAGATCCTTCGAGCACAAGGTCAACGTATAGCGCGGCATTCTCCTACAGCTAGCCCGTACGTCTCCCCACATCCTCACTTCTAATGCTACGGTATCCCCAAGACTACCAATCACTGCGCGGCTCCAGCTCTGCGGTCCTCCACATTACTCCAGCGAATACGGGGTACGCTGCCCGTGAGGACGAAGTTGCGGAGGCGGGAGAGCATGGGATTATCGAGCTAGCCTCTTCTCGGACCGACTTTCCAGCTTGTTGGTTGGTGCGCTTAGAACTTCGAGATCGTCTAACCTCGTTAGCTGCTTCAATTCCCGGGGCTGCGGGGATGATGGCTTGCGGGGAACGGCTCCAATTTCAGCGAAACTTAGAGCAAAGGTCTAACATCGTGTCACATTGTCTTATGTTGGATTTACATGATATCATAATATCTGCACATGTATACGAATTACTAGGCTACAAGATTGAGAATAGCTACGAGAAGTTAGCAGATAGAATTACAGTGAATTAGATCAGGTATGTTAGTACAACTTGTGCCTGACCAACCTGTCTTAAGCAGCCTGGTCTTAAGACTCAATAAAGTGTAGCAGGATCTACTTAGCTTCACGGCCCTTGATGTAACCAATTTATTGAAGTATATGCGGTGTTCTATCCAGAATAAAACGTTACATAGATGGACCAAAATATATAATATTGGATCTTAAATGCATAGCTCGCCGTCCCAGGTCCCCCGCATTTAGCCATCCAGCTCATGTACATATACCGTCAAAAAGATCCTCGGAAACACGCAAATCTTGATGAGCTAAACTTTATAAAGACATGATTATCGAGGTTAAAGCTGGAGACTTACACTAGACACAATAATGACAAGCCCAATTGCAATCTTAGTAGCCAATCCTCTGCAATACTATATACATACTCTCAAACAGAGCGTGATCCTGGTGGAGGGAGTGCTTCAGGTCCAAAAGACAAGGGTAACAGCTACATAGTTATACAACTGTTAGCTTGTGATTATGTTTGTAAGACTGACGCCGGCCAACTTACCTCTTCAAGACGGAATACTGAAAAGTTGTCATCCTTGTCGAACATGATAATTGGGGCCGTAAGATCGCAAAATTCCCGAATGCTTTTACAATTAGGATTCTAGTGAGCTAACTTTAGACTTGGAAAAAGAAAGGGTTCTCAACTTACAACTGGCGACACATCCCACACGGACTAGCCGGGGGAGTTATGTCAGTGGCTACAGCCACGGCTTTAATCTTCCGATGTCCCTCGGTCACCGCCTTGCCGAAAGCCACGCGCTCGGCGCATGTGCCGACCGGGTACGAGGCATTCTCGACGTTGGCCCCGTTGAAATAAACGCCGTCGACAGAGATGATAGCCGAGCCGACCCGGAACTGGCTGTACGGGCAATAAGCCGTCGACTTAGCCGCAACACAGCGGCTATGCAGCTCGCTGAACTCTGCTTTGGTCAAATTGTACTTCTGACATGTTGATTCGACTGCAGCCTCATCTGCGCTGGGCAGGATCTGGTGCTGGGCAGGCATTCTTGTGTGCTCTCTCGACTAGGTGAAGTGGTGAAGCCGTGAAGCCTAGGAGTGACCTAATGACCCCCTAACGGATTAAATTATACAAGAGTAAAGTTCATTAGTAAGATGTTACATGAATACTTTATATACGGCCGGAATAGGTGGGCGAGAAGTGGGCTATCTTATCTATGGGAAGTATCTACCTATCAGGCTATCAGTTAGTGACGGAAATGCGATAAGGACTAGACTGCAAACGGTAAACGGTGCTGCTTCATTCCTGCTCTTCATTTCAACTTTATTTTATTCATCTCTCATATTGAATGTTGCCATTTAAAATAAATGGATAGGTACCTAACATAGAACATATTTACGAATATATTTATATCCCTCATTCTTGTCGTCGCTTTACATAGGAACCGTCAAGGGATTCATTACACTGCTATCAATTAGCTTGGCTTGGGACACCACAGATAAGAGTGAATCAAGGGTAGGTAGCTCACGATGAACCGCCATCTACAATGAGGTTTGCACCCGTGACATAGGACGAAAAACTACTCGCCAAGAAGCCGGCAACACGTGCTACTTCTTGGGGCTTACCAGCTCTCTCCAACCCAATGGTCATTTTTTGCGCCTAAACGATCAAGTCAATGGGATGTATTATTGGCCGTGGCTTGGCTTTCTTACCTCTGGCTTCTGAAGACTGGCCGGAGGGAACTGGGATGCCATCCCTCTCATATCGAACTATTCAAGGTCATTGATATATCATCGGCCGAAGTGATGAGCTTACTTACCTCCTGGAGGTCTACGCCAATGTCGATTTGACCTGGAGATATCTAGGTTAAACGGTTAAGTTAGTAACCTAGGTATTAACCTTGACCAAGCAACCTACAAATTTCGAAGTTAGGGAAAATCACTCTTGGCTCCAACTAGAGCTCAAGAAACAGTGGCAGACTAAGTTCACGTACACAGTTGATTCTCACTCCAGTGCCTTTGAGACTCGCGACACCTGCTTTCACTACACCGAGAGCAGCGTGGGACGTCATAGTGTAACAGGGCCCCCAGCATCCACCATAAACTGATGCGACGCTGCTGATAACAATGATACTGCCATACTTTTGGCTTTTCGGTGCAGCATTCGGATAGGTCTTCTTCTCGGTCAGTTTAGCCATCGCGGCAGGGGCGTACTTCAATGTGAAGAAAGGTGCCAACGAATGGGCCTCGAAGCATTTCTGTAAGTCGTCTGGCGTAGTAGCTTCAATCGAAGGGGGTCCTAGAAGACCAGAAGAGCAGACCCAGACATCCAGTCTCCCGAAGGCGTTGAGGACCTCATCTATCAGGACGAGTGTCTCGTCTTCTTTGGCAACGTGAAAAGGGTACGGGATGACCTTGCAGCTCGGGGATTCCTTCCCTACTGTATCGACGAGTTCTTTATATAAATCTGAGCTGGCGGCCCTGTCGCATGCTATTCCTCGTCAGAATCCAAAGCTAATTCATCCAGGTATTTTGATCCAAACTCACCGTATATGCAAGCTGCTCCATGGGCTAGTTTATTATTAACTTCTCAGAACGCAAACATTTGATGAGATCGGCCAAACCTCCTAGTTCTCGAATGATGGCCTGGCCGACGGGCTGCGAAGCCCCTGTTACCACACAAACAAAGCCATGCTACGGTTTCGCATGAAGTCAGTCGCTAGTTTACGAGATTTGATTAATTAACACTTACGAGCTTGCCGTCTGCCCTGTACGGACTGAACTCATCGGTGACGTCCATATCGGCACACATATACACTTGTGCAAATGAATCTTAAAATGGAACTTTTTGTAAAACCTTGTGGGAGACCTCGAATTCTACTGACAGCAGCAGCAAGGACCATCATTCGATACTATCTGCGAGATGGTGTTTCTCCGAGGCGCTCCACGGGAACTATTTATTCTCTCGGCAATAACATCGATAAGAACTAACCTACCTAGGTAGATAAGTACCAATTAGCCAATGTGGACTTGGTCATATCATTCATGTTCTTTCATAACCCAAAGTCCCCAAATCCTAAATATTAGCTTCTGCAATTGGCCCTACAAATTCAGGAATCAAATGAGTTTACGGTTTATTATATTTAACTCTGCATGGGGTAAGCATCTAGACTTCTCATTCTGCTGTAGTCTGACCTTCCAACATTGCCTAACAATCTCACGCAGATCGAGATCGTCTTACCCATAAGATGGGCGTAATAGGGTTCGTATAGGCCTCGGTGACGCCAATGGCCGCCACATATATGCTCTTAAAACTTGGACGTGGTGAGCAGCCACGCCTGGAAATCAGGTAATGCGGCCGGCCGTGACGTCACGTTCCGCGACGGTAAGGCCACTCCAACTCCCCGTGTTACGGATGCCCGTTATAAGCAACCACGACGCCGGTTCTCGACGCCAATCTCGACGTTTTCTAAGTAATTGAAAGTAATAAATGAAATAATACCTTGATTTCCATCGTCTTTCCTGGGATTAAAAAAGAAATTCCATATATTCGTCGGGTTCGCAACTCAGGGAGACTTCAAGGCATCATGGGCCATCCATTCCACCCCGACGACTTCCCCATCAACGAGGACGTAGTCCTCCAACCTACGCAAGTCTTCTTCCTCAAAGGATGCGTACACTTCAAAACAACCGCCAAAATACTCAACCTATCCGGCCAAGTCCGGGCGCCCTTCTCGGGGGACTTTAACCACGCATTCCTCGACGACACGGAGCGAGCCGCGCAGAAACAACTCCAGAGCAACAGCCCCCCCGCCTACGAAATCAAGTCCTCGGGCAACATGATGCGCACGCTGAAGACGATGGTAGACGGGCGCTCCGGCGACAAGGTGTGCGACCTCAACATCACGTTCGTGTCCTTCGACTCGTCGCGCGTGCGCTTCCCCCCCGGCAGCAAGCACTCCCGCCACGAGGTCGAGATGTGTCCCGTCGGCGGCAGCTCGCGCGACGAGGACAGCAAGCACGAGGCGTTTGTCAGGCACAGCATTCCGTACTTCTGGGACATGACGCACGGCCGCGTGGGGATCTTGTACAAGTGTCTGAACCAGAAGCGCGTGGAGGTTGGCCGGGTCGCGGGCTTTGGGTTTGACAAGGACGCCGTGCTGGTGCTTAATGGCGAGGAGTTGGATGACGTGGTGGCTATCTCGACGTGTATTGTCTTGTTGAATGGTCGAGATGCTATGGATGCTTGAGTCGGCTTAAAGGGGTATATATACTACCACTGCTATTCTTCGACATATCTAACTAATAATCTTTTTTCGAGAGCGGAAAACGGGCATGGTTTTAATTAACTGGCTTGTAATCGAATTTGTAATTATATGCTGTTCTAAATAATATATTCTTCTACATAAAACCCCATCGTTCCCGGCGTGGTCGTCGTAACTAACTGTGGTATATCAGCTGAAAACAAAAGGGATTCTAGTGATCTATCTATGCTGGCTGGCTACTTGAACAGAAGGTCTCCCGTATCTTTGGCTTCATTCGATGCTCCAGAATTCGTAAATGCGCTCCAGCGCCTCTGTCGCGTGTGTAAAGGGGAAGTTGTGCGAGCCAGGTACGACGCGCCAGTACACGTTGTCCTCCCCGCCGAGAAGTGGGAGGGCATCTTCGGCGTAGTCGTCCTTCGGGATAAGGCTATCGTCTTTGGCGAGGATTACCGCCGTAGTCCCGGGCTTCCGCTTAGCTAGCTGTCGCCAGTATCCATGCTGTTCCATTAGCGGACCGTATCGGATCGTTGACATGAAAGCCTGCACGAAGCCGTAGTGGAAGTCAAGGGCCCAATGCACATAACCGAGTACTTGGCGCTCAAATGGTGTTGGAGGCACTTCCCCCTCAACAGGATCTACCGCTTCTTGCACGGCGACGTCCACATAATCCTCTTTGGTTTCACTCTGAAGGGGGCTTTTTGGAACTACGCCGTTAATGGACTTCCGGACTTTTTTAGACACGGACTTGGCGATGGGCTGTCGTAAACGACGTTTAGTAAGCCACGCAAGAAGGCGCTCGGGTATAATACCGGACGTGAAAACGAGCCGGCTCGCACGGCCGAAATTCTCCGCGCGAATAAGTCCGGCGGGTGCTAGAAGTACAAGAGACTCGACCATGTGGGGGAAGGTGGCAGCGAAATTAGCGGCGATACCGCCGCCGAGAGAGTACCCAATGATGCTCAAACCGTTCTCTCCAGTCCATGATAATGGGGAAGATGCTAATACGAGCAATATCTGAGTGACAAACAGCCTTGTGTCGTAGGGTACATCAGCAGGCGCATCGCTAAAGCCTCGCCCAAACAGGTCCTAAGAAGTGTAAGCAGGTGTCTCTTTTTAAGGGATATGATTTCACGCCGGGTATTTTAAAATCTACTCACAAAAAGCATGACACGGCATCCCTTCTCAGCAAGCGGCACGGCGATGCCTTTAAGAGTCATGCACGAAGTGCTGATCCCGTGAAGGAACAAAACTTTACGGCCGTCTTCTGGTCCAAATTCATATACGCGGATATTGCCATACTGTGAATTTAGATTAACTAGTTAACTCATGTACCAGCTTTATATATTATACAGGGAGGACTCACCGGCGTGACTACATCTCTGGCGCCCGGGAACGCATCTGGTTGATAGGGAATTTCAGAGCGAGCAGCCTGGGAAAGCTTAGGCAAGCTAGTCGTCAGAGGACCGGGTATGACAGCGCGCTTCTCAGGCCATAACGTGAATCGAGCGAGCGAGATAAGTGCAACTGTGGTCACGACGGATGTTGCGATCACCGCAGTTGACCCTGATCCTGCCCCCGACTCGGTTGGAGGCCCAAGGCACATGGAGGCTATAGCCTCCATCCCGACTTTTAGTGCTGGTCAAGTCGACTATTCTGTATTGGAACAAACCGGATACCGGGGGATCCGTAGATTTACGCCTCCGTAACCATGGAGCGCATAAGCTTCCCAAGCGGAATTGAAAGTTGTGAAGATGATAGAGATACGAAGTTAGGTATTTGTAAAGATATATAATATATGACTTGACAAGGCAACCAACGAGATTTGGTTCGGTAAGTTGTACATGTATGTTAGTTACTATGTAGGTTAAGGTATTAAATAGAAGTAGAGAATGATGGAACTTCCATGTTACTCAGCTGATGCGCAGGGCTGGACATTCTATTTAAGAGGTATCCATGTATAAATGCATATGATTCGCTAAAAGCTTCTACAACCACACAACCTTCCCACGTGGCAGCCTGGGAGTATGCTTAACGGGATGGAATTTTAGAGTTTACTATGTACATCACTGTAAGGTACTTGTACATAGTACAATGTTAATATAGCACCTGAGGCATATAGCAGGCAGGTACTGAGCTTTTTATACACTTGGCTAAGCCTTCTCATACATACCTACCTAACTTACCTATGTACATATGTAGTTACATAGGTATGTAATGACTACCTAGGTACTTGTTTGCTCTCATCTCCATCTCATTAGTTTCAGCTAACTTATACATCATTTATTCCAAAAGCCACCCGCGACACAAACTACACATTTATTCCACATGATCGATCACAAGAGCATACAGTCATCATGCGGCCTCTTTATTCGAACCGAAGCTTTGACTACGCCTGTTCACTAAGTTTACACTTTATATTTATCAGTCTATAGGCGGGTGTCCGAGTACCAACCAAGTACAAGTAGGCTATGCTCGCCTTTGCTAGGCAGAGCTAGCACATACGCCGTGATGAGATCACAGAATAAACCCCGAATCCATCACAATGTTGATACCTGTCGTGCTCTTGCTCTTTGCAAAAGTAAATACTTGTTCAGCAACATCCTCGACGCTAACGAAGCGCTTGAGCTTGGTCTTTTGCAGGTGGGCTTCTTTCCGCTCGTCTGAAAAGCGGGTTGCCCATTCCTATAACTTAACGTTAGACCCGAGCTGTTAATTCTAACGGTCTGGAGTATCTCACCGTCAGCAGTAGCCCAGGGGACACGGTATTGACTCTAATCTTGGGGGCAGCCATAATCGCAAGCGCTTTCACCATATGGATCTGTGCCGCCTTGGTAGCGGAATATGCCTATTTGGTGTTATTACTAGTTCAAATACAATAGAATTCCAAGGCTGGGATTGCTTGCCAGAGAACTGCCGCTTGGGACCACACCAGCAATGGACGCTGTGGTAATGAAAGCGCCCTCGGTTTCGTCCAGATACTTCTTGGAGGCCTGCATCAGCCATAGGTGGGATTTTACATTCATATTAAAGGCATGATCCCATTCTTCCTCGTATGCATTGTCATCAATGCTATCCATCCCGCGGCTGTGAGCAAACATGTTAGTGGTATCATAAAACAAGGACTATAAAACAAGGACTATAAAACAAGGACCCTCTCATGGCAAGCAAGCAAGAAAACTCACAACCGAGTCCAACCGCCATTAGAGAATATGACATCCAGTCTACCAAATCTATCAACACTCTCCTTGATAAGACGGTTGATATCGTCCCGGCTGCCTAGATCAGCCTTGATGGCGACAAAATTATCGGCTGGTAGAGTAGACAGAGACGGCAATTCTTCCAAGAGCCTATTAGCCCTTTCTTCATTATTGGCGTAGTTGATGATGACTCGGAAGCCATTCTTCGCGAAGACCCGGACTGCCGCGGCTCCGAGCCCGGCGCTCCCCGCTGTAATCAGTGCAACAGACATTGCGAATTTCAGCGTCTTCTAATCATGAAAAGGTGATATACATCGCTTCTTGTTCTGTTTTTCTCATATTATATTTTTTTTAGTGAATTGTCTTTTGCTTGGGAGAATACTGCCTTATGTATTCTCTTAAAGTCGTAGCAAGTTACGGACTATATTAAACGATCCCGCGGTCGGCGATCGGGTGTTCCGTCGGAATTAAACTGCCGTGCTAACTGGGCAATTGCCGTACGAACCAAGCAAGCTGTCATACTCTCCCGCCTATCAGAGACTGTTGCTGTATTACATTGTACTACACTGACCCGAGGCTTGGCACCTATTAGTATCTAACTTCTTTCCGAACCTCTCAAGATCAAACAAGGTGCTACCTATAAATACTGCATCGGAGACGAAATCAAGGAACGATAAACGAACCATAGCTCCTGTACTGTTTAATACAAGCATATTTGAATACAATAAGATCTTCAAATTTGTCTAGTACTTTTTAATCGTCGACAGCTATCATTGTCAGGAGATGAAATTGGGTTCGGTATGACTTCTTACACATTGTCATATTATACTACTCTTTATAAGTAGTCACGGGTCCAACGGTGTCCATTCTCCGGTACCAGCCGGCGCCGCCCCAATGTTGCAGGGTCCATCATGTAAAACGGAATGGGGAGGGTTAATCCCATCTCGAACAGGAATCATAAGGAGAATCGTTTCGTCGTCTCCTGGAAACGTCGTCCTGTGACCCCAAATCGAGACATCCGCCCTATCGTCGACATACATGAGCCCATATCTGCCACCATGTACGATTACTTCACCCGTGGCGTTTGGCAAGTACACTAATCCGGCAATTGTCAGCCAAGTCTCAATGATAGACTCTCAAAATCTTATTAACGAAGCATACCGTGCATAAGACCGCTAATAAGCCAGATATATTGTTTTGCCGGCCCCGGGTGCCGCCCGCTGTCGAATCTGGGCGGGATGCTGTAATACGATGCATTTGCGATGTCACCCATTCGTAGCACGTCCATGCCCACCATTTTGAAGAACGGCGTGGTAAGCTGCCAGCATTCAAAAACCGAGATGTTGTTCCTCCCAGCTATGGTAGTTAAGTTCAGGCTCGGCAGACTGTGTGCAATATGTGCAAGACCGAGCATAGCGGCGCTGAAGGAGGACAAGTAAGGTAGCATGTTCTAGTTGGTAATGTATTGCTGGAGCGGAAAGGGGAGAAGACTAGGAATACTTGTGAGGGGGAAACAGCTATGCTTGAGGGACTAGGCATGAGATGACATTTAAATCCCTACGATAACTCTGGCACAATAACGTGAGTAAAATAGACTGCTACTGGCATATAGATCGTAGCCTCAAGTTGATAGTGGCTTAAAACATGGCGCCCATCGTGATCGCGAGCATCGGAGCCATGCACGATATTCCAGAAGAGGAAGTCCCCGAAACCATAGAATGGGGCTCCGAACTGAGCTCGTTTTCCAAGGCCGTTTACTTCTCATGTCTGACGTTGTAGTGTAAAAGAGAGAGGGTATTGCATCCCAAGACTTTACTAACCCCTATATTATTGTAAAGTGCCTTTGGAACAACTACGACCTTGGCAATGTAAGAATCCCATCAGTGGCACTTAACAGCATCCATATTCCCTCCCGCCGATTTCCTCTGGTCCTATACCTAACTTCCCACCCCTTAAGCGGCAAGGAGCCCTCAACACCACCGTCGACCTGATATAAGCGAATCTAGAAGATATATTCGCCCCCACACAGCAAGCATCCACCCCCTACTCGTGCCGACCCAACTATCGTCCACCATCACACACACACACACATATATATATCCCTGAGTCACAGACTTAAACACCACACGCCACATATACCATAGTAAACCCCCATCGTCCTGCAAGCCAGGTCAGACTATTGGCGAAGTCGCCCGAGGAGCAGTACGCCCGATATCCTGGCTAGCTCAGTGGACTAATAGCCAGCACGTAATCGATGGTCTTATGCACTAGTGCAGTAAATATGTGGAAGGCTGAGTCACAGTAAAGAGGGCAGAACGTAGGGCGGATTACTACGAAGGAGAAGTCGGTTCGAATCCGGCACCTGGTATCCATTTTCTTCTTCTTAGGTTCCTTTGCTTTATATTCCTCTCTGTATTGCCCCCTATCACCTACTCCTTCTGCTCAACCGCAATTCACATATCATCTCACTATCAACTACACCGCGCCCAAGTTTGAACAGTTAAAAATATTGGTATTCTATCCGTATACACATCGTTGGCAAAACCATGCATAAGACACATACAGTAGGTCCCCGCCACATTGGATGGCTCATCTCACACTCCACCCCAATCTGCCAAGCCCAGGATACGCCTCCAACTCATACCCCCATTGCTGACATTAAGGAAGCCCATAGCCGTCCGTCTATTGATACCACACTACCGTCGCTTGATCGGGTTTTTATTTTGTTTAGTAAGTACGCTTGAACGGCGGGACGGCCTTGCACTCGTTCTCATCAAGCGTCGTGGCGATGACTCGTCGGTATCCGAGGTCGACCTTTCCGTGGGGCTTCTTCTGGAAGGTGAGCGTGTGCTTCATCCAGTTCTCATCGTCTCGTTCAGGGTAGTCTTCTCGGGCGTGAGCGCCACGGGACTCCTTTCGGTTAGCGGCGGCAGTAGCCGTTTGGGTACTGATAATATATCATTAGCTTAATGTCCCTTGGACTAAAAAGATTATTCAACTTACGCGCAAGTGAGAAGGTTCCTTAACTCGAGGGTCTCGACGAGATCCGAGTTCCAGATCATGCTGCGGTCCTTGATTCCGACTTGAGAGAAGGTACCATCAATCTCGGTGACCTTCTTGACACCCTCATCTAAGCTTTCCTGTGTACGGAAGACGCTCACGTCTGTCTGCATGGCCTTTTGCATGGCGAGTCTGATTTCGGCTGTGCTCTTGGGGCCATCGGAGTTGCGGACCTGGTCGAGGACCTCAATCGATCCGGCACCAGCATCAGCGCTGATAGGCTTGGGCTTAGCACCGGGGGTGAAGTTATCTCGGATGGTGTGAGAAACGGCTCGTCCAAAGACTACGAGATCCAGCAGAGAATTGGCACCAAGTCGGTTGGCACCGTGGACGGAGACGCAAGCGGCTTCACCGCAAGCGAACAGACCAGGAACGACCTTGTCGCTACCCTTGTCATCAACAGTGAGAACCTCACCAGTGTATTTTGTGGGGATCCCACCCATGTTGTAGTGGACAGTCGGTAGGACGGGGATGGGCTGCTTGCGAACATCAACACCAGAAAAGATAGCAGCAGTCTCAGAGATACCAGGTAGACGCTCAGCAAGGACCTCAGCAGGTAAGTGGCTTAGTTGAAGGTAGATGTGATCCTTCTCAGGACCAACACCTCGTCCCTCACGGATTTCCAGGGTCATGGATCGCGAGACGACGTCACGACTGGCCAAATCCTTGGCGGTAGGCGCATATCGCTCCATGAATCGCTCACCTTCGGAGTTGAGGAGGTAACCACCCTCACCTCGGGAACCTTCGGTAATCAAGCAACCGGCTCCGTAGATACCTGTAGGGTGGAATTGGACGAATTCGAGATCTTGGTTGGGAAGACCGGCGCGGGCAACCATGGCCATACCGTCACCAGTACAAGTGTGCGCCGATGTGCAGCTGAAGTAGGCTCGTCCGTATCCACCAGTAGCTAGGACAGTGTTCTGCGCAAGGAATCTGTGAAGGGTACCATCCTCCTGGTTATAGGCCAATACACCACGGCATTCCCCGCCTTCCATGATCAGGTCGAGGGCAAAGAACTCAATGAAGTAGTTAGTGCTGTGTCGTAGAGATTGGCCATAGAGAGTGTGCAGGAGAGCGTGTCCGGTTCGGTCAGCGGCAGCGCAGCAACGGTAGGCCTGGCCACCCTTGCCATACTTCTGCGATTGACCACCGAAAGCACGCTGGTAGCTAGCAATTGATGTTAGAAACGGTCTTGTGTCATGCGAGGCTCAGCCTCGACTTACATTTTCCCGTCTTCCGTTCTCGAGAACGGGCAGCCGTAGTTCTCTAATTCGATAATAGATGCGGGTGCCTCTCTCGTCATGTAATGAATAGCATCTTGGTCGCCAAGCCAATCAGAGCCCTTTACTGTATCGTACATGTGCCATCTCCAGTCATCCTCGTGCATGTTTCCCAAGGCGGCATTGATACCACCCTGTGCAGCAACGGTATGGCTTCGCGTGGGAAAGAGCTTCGATATGCAAGCTGTGTTGAAGCCAGCTTCCGCCAGACCGAAAGCCGCCCGCAACCCGGAACCGCCCGCACCGACGACGATGGCATCGTATTCGTGGTCCTACGGCCAAGTTAACCGTTGTTGATCCTAAAAGCAATTGCCTAGAAGCGTGGAACGTGGAACGTGCGACGTACGATAACGGGGTATTTGTTGCTAACATGTATCGGCGCTTCCTTAGCCCGTAGTGGGTTATTCGCGATGATCCGAGCTGCGCGCACATGCAATTAGATATCAATTCCATTTCCATCGCACATAAATTTGGCGGGGTACGTACAAACAGGGCGCGTGGAAGAGAAGGTTCTGGCTTGGCATCTTGCTGCCCTCGAGAACTATTAAAAGCGAGCGGTAGTTAATATCTTCATCGCGCTCTAAAGCTCTAAACTTCGGGAAGCCCAAATCCATGCGACACATTTCGAGGCTCTCAAGCAAGGGAGAAATACTCACGGCAGAGCCAGCGGCTAACCTCCTTAGTGCCATTGAAGATGCCATTACGAATAGGGAACGAGTAAGAAGGAGGGCAGAGAGAGAGAGAGAGAGAAAGGGTTGTATCCAACAACTCTTCTCTTGTCCTACAAGTTTCGGGGAATGGCGAATGGCGAAAGACGAAAGACAAGAAAAAGTGATGATGCCGGTCGAAGTTCAACCGCTGCTTCCAGACGATCGAATTCCTTCCTCCAATAGCGTCGTTTCTGATTACCGAGGGATAATAAAGCCGGCCCTTTCCCCAAGCAGGAGGTACCCTTGTACATTGCCCACTTGTCCCACCCTCGCCCACCTTCTGCTATGTAGTAAGCCATTTTAGCCATCGGCATCATCATCATCACGTGTAATTAGACAATGGGGATACCTTATGTGCCGAGTTAAACATAAACGTTTATTTTGTATGATTCAAGTACTTCTTACGTTAAGCATATAACTATAGTGTCGTTGCTGAGGGACAAATGTTTCTTGTAATCGGAATATAAGAATAACTATATGATATTTAACAGTTAACTACTGATATATTAAAGTCATAACTTCGAACTAATATTAAACGACGAGTTAAGAATAAGTAATTCAATGACACATCAAGAATAAACAAGCCAGCTCAATATACGAAGCTGTCTTATACCATAACACAAATCCAAGACACCATCCGAGTTACTTCTCTATTAAGCTTCTTTAACCTAATGCTACCATGACAATAGGTCCTATACTCTCAGGACCTAAGTATATGCGTACCTAGTTGTACCAATATCTTCTCCATCTGCCAAAGAGCATTTCATAACGAGGGCTATTTGAATGCCCTAATGACTTATAACCTAATGCATCCCACTCGACACCCATTATCTCACTTAATTTTTGTACATGCTCGTCAATGCAACCGACCAATGGGGAATACACCTTTGTCCTAAACCTCGACTCTAAATGCTAGAATAATATGGCCACTAACGCGCTAGAACCTGCCGTAGCATCTGGACGAAATTGTCTTTCAACCGATGCACCTCGCTGACCTCCGGTTTCTGCGGCTCGCCGGCACGTGCCTTGAGTCGGTCTTGCCTCTTTGCCCTCCTTCGTCTTTCGGCTTCTATAGGGTCCATCTCATCCTCTTCTTCCGCTTCAGCCTCCTCATCAGATCCATCGTCGTAGCTCATGTCTTCTAAGTCCGCATCGTTTAGCCCAAAGTCGCTAGCGTGGAAGTTACTCATACCCGGTACGCCACCATCGATACCAACTGAGCCTTCCGCAGCCATCTTCTGCCGAGTTTTATCATGATGCCACTTTTTGCGAGCCTCCTGCCAGGCGATGAGCTGATTGATCTCCGTGATCGCCTTCTCCTTGTCTAAGTTGCCGCTAGCAACAGCTCCCTCGAAAAGGGCGTTGATGTCCAATGCTCCACCAGCCGGCCCCTTTCTTAAGAACTCTAAAATGTCTTCTATCCAGGCCATGAGCTGTGTAAAAAGGCCGTTGTCGTGAGTATGAACTTCGTGGATGAATTTGTAGAAGTTATGCTCGTGACGCTGACATAAGTCGATGAAGGCTTGTACCGTCTGATTCGGGTCTGCTGAGGCATCTTGTTCCCTACACTTCTCGACAACCTACAATGGTGTTAGTGGCCTCGACTCGTGGAGCTAATGAGTTAACATACCTGTATCATATCACCAATAAAAATGGCAAAGTCGGTAATACTGTCGTATACGTTGGCCGACTTATACACTCTTACTAGGGGTTCGTAAAAGATGGTGAAAAGGTCCCGGAATAATTGTAAAGTGACAGGTTCTTCGATCAAGCTGAGCATCATTGCCTTGTCGCGTTGCCTAGTTTGTAGTTTCATAAGCTGCTTCAGATGCGAGAAAAGCTGTGCGCCCTGTTTTAGTTCCTCGTCGACGTTTTCCACTGCGCTGTTAAAAGCAACATATGCGTTGAATAATCTCCCGATCTGTTCGCCAGTAAGGGCTGGAGTGAAAAATTCAGAACGCAAGACCGCAACTATGATATCTACCCCCTCAGAGTCCGCTTCTTCTCGAACCGCAACCTTTTTGTATTCCTCGGCATCCGTAAATTGCTTTAGTTTATTCACAAACACGTCATCCCCGATTATAGTAGCTAAAGCATCGATGGACTTCTGATAGCTCTTAATTCCGTCGTTTAGCGTCAAAGAGAAAATGCGTTGCATGAGAGACCGAGTTCCAAAAGGCTGCGCCAGGAAAAGGTCAAGCACCCCGGACATAACAGCAGCGGGGTTCGCGAGCCTAATTACGTTTTTCAGAAGAGTGTAGGGGATCAAGGAGTGAATCCGCTTAAGTTGCGCAAATAACTCGGGCGAATTATCTTCGGCAAGGAAAAGGTGGTAGATGGTTGCGGCCACTTCGATACGGAGCCACTCGGCAAACTTCTGGTATTGAAGACTTAGATCTTGGATGGTGTTTTTGTCCTTGATCTCTTGGAAAAGCTTTGTTAGCCCATTGCGCTCGACGATATCTTGTCGGAATTGCTCCATATACACGTCCAACTCTGCAGCTCTTTTTCTTGCTATCTCGTAGAATTGCTTTTGCTCCTCTATACGCTTCTCGTCAACGGCCTTGCGACGAAAGATGTCGTCGACATCTTCATCAGTTGGGGTGAGCGGATCGCGTGTTAAGAACTGCTGTAAAGCCTTGGTCTGCGCAATCTGGGGGTTTTGTAGTAGATACCGCAAGTATGCTCGTAACGATATACGCTGATTCTCGCGCCAGAGAATTGCATTCTGGAAGTGTTAGCCCTTATCCCTATCTTGCTTTGGGTGAACCAGGACAGGCCCTAGCGATAAACAACTTACATCGATTTTAGGACTTAGAGCACTGTTCGCGGACGTTTCGAGCGATGGGCGCGGCGATGTACGGTTAGAAGCCACGGATTTATTCCGGCGGTGATCTCGAACTGTTAAGGTCTTCATTGACTCTGTAAACCCACCATTTTGAGATACAGGCGCGATAGTAGAAACAGATGAAGCAGACGAGCCGTCAGAGTCGTCAGCGCCATCTGTCATGCGCGACATTAAGCTTGCTGCAGCTGTGTCCGACTTGTTCTTCTTGGGTAACGGAGGGAGGACTTTTCCTGGTAGTTCTGTCCTCAGCTGCTTATGAAATCGGACAAAGTCGCCATATCGTCTGCCTACGTAGAATTCAAGCTCACCCTTCCGCTTGACGCGCAATAGGAATTCCTGTAATATGTTATATGAGAATTATGTATCATTTCTTTTTGTATAGGTACTCACCGCATGCTTGTGACGCCTAATGTGTTTCTTGACGCGAGTAATACGTACACCGGCAACATTGATGTCCCATCCGTTAACGTAATGTCCCTCTGGTATGGTATTCAACACGCCAGTATCGATTGCGTCTCGGTCTACGATCTCCATCTCCGCAAACCTTATGCGCTCTTCAAACCCCGAGGCCGTAGGAACCCCCGACACCATCATCAGCTCGACTAGCTTCCGGCATTTCAGGGCTAGCTTGCGACGCTTAGTTTCTTCTAACCGGTCTTCAGAAGATGAGATGCTCTTGCTGGCGAAGGACTCAAGGAACTAGATGCGCGCAAGTGAAAATGTTAGTACAATATAACGAATGATACAACGGGTAGCTTGCTGATGGAACTACATACGACTTGCAGCTTGTCCTGCCAGAATTCCTTCTCCTTCGCCTTGTCGAGAAACGGGAACTCTCGTACATGATGTACGAATATATAACGTAGGATGGGGAGTTCAGAATCATAGGGTGATACCTCTCCAAATTCCGATTTGAATGGCGCGCCGAATCTGCGAAGCGCAGTGGGGGAGTTTAATTCGGATATTTCCCAGCTGACTTGCTCAGATATGAGCTCTCGTTTGAGGTCTATAGAAGATGATGGTTAGCATGAATGACGTCGAAGTGTTTGCCAAGACGAGATACGAACAGTGCTCCTGTTTTCCAGTCAGGGTTTGGCCCGGAGGGGTAGCGGAATTGGTAGTAGGACCGTGGGGTGCGTCATCTTGGGCGATTTCCGCAGTAGACATATCTTGATGCTGGAGTTGATCTTGGCTTTTTTTTTCTTCTTCAACCCGGGGAAAAGAAGTGGAAGTGTACGGTTTATGATGTCGGCTTGTAAGTCAACCTCTTTCCCGTTTTCGCTCTTGCTTCCGTCTTCGTACAATTTAAGCTTCAGCCCAAATGCCAACAATTATGCTCAGCGCGTACGGCGTATAGGCAAGTGGATATTATGGCGGGGAATAATTGATAAATTGATAAATTCAACGAGATTAATATCATCAGCCACAAGCCGTATATCCCTTTATAACTCTCAACGAATAAAATGATCTGACATCGATCGTGTGAAATAGGGGTATTGTGACAAGAATAAATGGAAAAAGAAACTAAGTTAATGGAATATTGTATAACTTGTAAGGTAGTAAAAGAGTGCAATCGGTGCCTTGTAAGTGTTCTGGTAACGATGGATACATACATGTAGATGTAAATACAGTGTCAATTATATACCATACTGTACATGTTTACATACATGTACATAGTAACCTAACCTAGGTACTCCGTTTACTTCCCTGGTAGACTGGATCTTTCTCATGTGATCAAGTTACCGTTGTTCAAGGCCTTGGGGCTGAGGTGAATCACGACAAGCCAAGACGATCAATCCGGAGTTCTCAGATCAGGCCTGATGCACCGTTAGACGGTACCTAGCACCCTTCCTCTCCTAATTGGTGGTAGCGGCTCCGAAGCTGTATGTACAACATCGTCGAAATAGGTATATGTACCCAGTGGCTTAGAGATGACGTCGACATATACATACATATGTATTCCTGTACAAAACTAGAGACCTGTGTACATAGGACTACGCAATTATGGCTATGCACATGTATCTTACGTACAAACTCCACAGCTTTGGACCCTGCAGGGCTGAAGCCAAGTTTGGTCGTCCGAGAAGTGCCATATATCCGCGGCTAAGACGGCATCAAACTTATACCTATCTAGACTTCTCAGGTTAGTTAGGTACTCACGCTCACAAGTTTCATCTAAGTGCTACTACAAGACTCTTGCGACCTGCACATGTAGGCTTTCAGGTGTCATCTGCTAAGCTTTCGAAACAATGACGCTCGATGAATGAACTAGTTATAAGATGTACGTTAGCTATTTACATAAGCAATCTTGATAGAGGTCGAATAGCTGTTACTACAGCATAATAAAAGTAATTAGTGTTAAAGATAATAGCAACCGGTCGGTAATATAATAGTACCTTGATGATGTTATCATTATATGCCTGATGTTATACTAGAAACCTTCTACCGGAAACGGTTGCTAGGGGGTATCATTACTTCCAAGGGAGTTAATTCCTTAAGTGATGGTCGGATGGCTAAGGCTTCAAGTTATAGCTCGTCAAGGGCTCGGAACACACCATTCCCGGCAGACCCATTGACTTTTCTGCTGCTGAGTGTTTCTCTCACCTCGTCCACCATAGAGGCAGCATTCATGGCTTGGTTTCCAACTCCAACTACGTTACTCAAACCCGGTTGTCCTTGTCCGTTATTTGACGTCAGGTCCAGAACCCCCGAGTCATTTTCAGACGAAGGGGCGTATTGGGCTACAACCAGTATGAGGATTAGTGAGAAAATCACAACGGACGTGATGATCCATATGGTCTTGAGACGTTTTCTTGTCCTTTCTTGCCATTCCATATCCGCCCTTTCCCAGCCTTCGATCCGCTCACGTACTACATCTACCCGCTTGCTGAGGGTCTCGACCATGTCGCGGCCTGCGTGTATGCGACCCTGTAGTTCTTCGATGCGTCTCTGCTGATCGTCAAAGTGGCCGAATGAGTCGGCCTGTTGCTCCAACTCGTCTACCAGTCCTTGCGACTCTGCTTTGAAGCTTTCGTCCAGCTCCTGCGACATACTCGTGAGTTCCTTAAGGGAAACTATCGTACTCTGAAGCATGCCCAACCTTTCAAGAACAGAGTAATATGTATCATCTAGGCGCATCGTCGTGGTAGTCGAAAAATTGGCTAATTCTACTAGCGACTTTTTCAATCCCCTATTTCAAATGTTAGTTATCGAAGACTATGGCCAGCTAAAATTTAATAATCCCCGGAAAGCTGTAGTGACGAACGCTAAACTTGATGCTACTTTTTCTCTCTGCTCGCGCGCTAGTTCCTCTTCAGTTATCGAGGTCGGCACAAGGACCGTAGGTTTTGTACTACGTGTAGCATCGTCAGACGAAGGGTTTAGCATGCCGAGTCTAAGATTTGTTTCGGAATTCGCATATGGCGTTGTGCCTTCGGATCGGGGCAGCTCAAATGAGCCTCGTGGAAGGTGAAGAAGCATCGGGTTTGCGGATTGGGGAGTATGGTCGTCGTTGTCGCGATCCTTTCGCTGGTGAAGATGATGTAAGTGGTGATGCCGGGGCAACTTGATTGGCGATGACAGTTCAGTTATCGACCGTCTTACTTGGTGACGAGGCCGTTGTGGGGAGGTAGCTACAGGTTTCAGGAGGTCGAAATCTTGATTCTTGGACATCTTTCCGTAGGTACTAGAATGGCTTGAGGTAGGGTGGCCTGATTTATATCAACGCGCGTCAAGATTAAACAATATTAAAACAAGTAATATAGATGCACTGTATTGCGCGCATTAAATTGTACCTACATTAGGTGGGTATGCAGTCGATGCAGTCAATACAGTTGTATGTATGGTTGATTAACATGGAGTAGGTAGGTAAGAGAGAGGTAGATTTCTATTGGATCGAGATTAGGGGATCGGAGGGAGTTTACGGCACTCCGTTGCCACATGCGCCATCTCCACTACGGGACTCTCCGCGCTTTCACATGTCACTTAGTGTACATTCCTTAGGTTAGGTGAGGTACCTAACATACCTACATATTTTACGTGTCTTACCACCACGATATTTGAAGAAGTATCTAGGTTACCTATATATGGTAGTCGAAACACTCGTCTACATGTGTAAAATGTAATAGGCTTGTATGACTAGAATGTAATGCCGTATAGCACTGCTGGTCCCAGCACAATGATACATGGATGTAAAGACCTGGAATGCTAAATCAGAGATTGTGAGTTGTAGGTTAGGTAATGTGGATGTGATGCTATATTACTAGGTTAGCTGTGTCGACCGTCGCAGAGTTGGGCTATCCTGTTGCGCATAGTTCAACATGCTCCCTGTCTGCCTTGTTGACCTCAAATTGTCACTACTGGCTTTAAAAAGCAACCCTAATTGCAGAATCCCATGTGTTGGATACCATCTGCCGGTTCCCAATCTTGGATAATAATCTGACCTGGATCCGATTCTTGATTATCTTCGTGCCCATAAATCTCGCAGACTCCATCGATGGAAAAGAGTTTTGATCCTACAGGCTTTGCTGTTACTATCAAGTCGATTCGTCGTGCGTGTCCACCACTCCTTAATATATAAGGAAATAATCGTAGACGTAGTTCTTTAGGATAATTGGGAGGCTCATGAATTAAGGAGCTTGTTGCGCTTTTCCTTTCTCCTTAGACGTTCGACTCGTTTTTTGTGCATCTTCTCTGCCATCTTTTCATATCTCTCCTTCTCCTCTTTCGCTGCGCGCTTCTCCTTGATGGCTTGAACCCGTTGCTAGTCCCAGTGTCAGCTATGGCCCATTGGTGTCATCTTCATATTGATGGTGTCGGTTTTACCTTTCTTTCTGCCTCCTTTTCTTCTTTCATTTCCTTTTCCCTTGCCTTCGTCGCAGCCGCCGCCGTGCGTAATTTCGTTCGTTGCTCATACGAAGTCAACCCGGACCCAGGGCGGAATGCTTTTCGCGGCGGATGCCATTGTTTGCCTGTAACTTACTTATAAGCTTTGCGATAGCTATGAATAATGTTGTAGTCCTCACCGTTCTTGCGTATGCCTTGAAGCTCTTGCTTCTGTTCGGGTTCAGTAACGCTAGTCGACATAATGGCGCAAGAGTCTCAGAGCAGTTGGGATTGTCAGAAGATAACTACTATCACTTGCTTCTACAAGCGCAATATCGTTTGCCTCTGATTGCGTTTTCACTAAGCTGCGCGCAATGTATGGATCTTATCGCCAAGAGGCATATCAATCAAATAATGTTTGCGATTTAAAAAAAAGTTGGCATAACTGGGGTCCTGTAGGCAAAGTGGATCTCCCAAGAAATCTGGAGAGATGAGATTGGCCAGAAAGCAAAAATGTACGGTGCTGGATCAATTATCTTCCAGCGGCAAAGGGTAACCGCCCCCGAGATCGTTCCAGGGCTCTGGGTCCAATCAGGTGCACGATATGTGCCGTGCAGATTAGTCTGTTGTTCTAGCTGAGTTTGAACCTTAGTCTGGTTGGCTAATGTACATACCTACATTAGTTGAAACGAGATTAGCTTCCCACGCCTCTCGAGTCGGGTAATTTTCTGTCTTTCATTTCGTAATGTTTTAGCTTCCATGTGTACTACACGAGGTACTTCCATAAGTCCAATTGTTTGCTATTGTTTATTGAGCGATCGAGGTAAGCCTTGCCTGATAGCGCATTTGCGTATTTAATATTTTCTGCATTTGGACGAGACCCTAGATGCAATAATACTAACTGCTTCAACGTTTCCCGTTGCTATTTATGTGCGTATACACCACGTACATAGTATCATAATAAGACGATTCTGGTATAGTTCCAGCTCGACCCCCAGGGGTTCGATATCATAAGACAAGGGTCTCTCCGCAGAGGATTCAGTACCGAAATCCATCTGGAGACTGGAGTAGGTAGGTATTTAAAGTGCCTGGCTTGTCTGCTTGTCAAGCCTCTTATCAAGTTATCAATTGACCCCCAAGAGGCGAGGGCGTATCCCGGTTTGCCCATCGCTATCCCGTTCTCCGTGTCCGTATCCAGAAATTCGTGGAGAGCGTGGCTTGGGCTATAGGTGCTAACAATGCTAGAAAGTTTTGTCATTTATTTCCTGAGTTTTGCCGTTAGAGGGATTAGACGTGAAATTGTTTAATTAGCTGTGATATTCTTAGATACGATTTGAATCGGAGATGAAGAATCATCGGTGGCCGATCATTACTTGCAGCCCGTTGTTCAGCTTGATTTTATACCTTACTAGTAACGGATCGTGTTTTTAGCAATCTTTAGCATGTCCCTTTAGCATGTCAGATCGAATACTTTTTATTTTATTTTACTCAAGAACCATCGCAATGGGATAAACAACGAGATGCAAGCTGGCAGTAAGATCAACTATTCTTTATCCGGTAGAATATGTACCCACAGACTCATGCAAAGTTATCCGAGCGCGTCGAATTCCATGGCCTTGGTTGGCTACGAACCATGGAGGCTAATGCGACGGCTGCTTACGGGCCTTGCAGTGCGTAAAGGTGAGGTGTACTTCGCACATACGCACGCACGCATGCCCTCCATATGTAAGATATGTAAAAGCTGAAGGTAGTATGCGAATCGCGGCCACGGCTGGACCGGCTGCCTACTTTGCGCTAAAAAAAAACGGCCGACTTGCGTGGGATCCAAAAAGTCCTGTTAGCTTGGCTCATTTGATTACCTATTCTAGTTCTTGTTGCGCTCGTTTTGTGCTTGGCTTGGTAAGATGATGATGTCTAGGTAGAAATGCAACTAGATTTGGTGCTACCTTACCTAATATGAAGATAAATAAATGCTCATCAACCCGTATATGCATTTGCTTCCCGTAAGCAACACCGTCGTGTTTATATATGCACGGAACACGGAACACGGAATACATGGTAATGAAATGTACCTGATCCTTTCGCGTAGGATTGATTAACCCAATTCTGAAAACCCCTCCAGCCGCAAATGCGACGAAGCAACCGAAGGTAGGAAGCGCGGGGGGTCATTAACCAAGAAGGGATAGGGTGCTGCAGGGGAACGCCGAGGATTAAAGGCAAGCCATCTAAAATAGGAAAGCGGTTTTCTCAATTACGCCTGTACATACGCAGGTTTGCGTTATGTATTGTACTGTACACGTAGATGCATAATTAGATGCAAGGTTTCCAAACAAGATGACCGGGTTCAAGTTGCCTCCGCCAACCTGTTACTGCCAACCTGTTACCTCCCAGCTTTCGGCTGCTCTCTGTTGAATATTTGATGTATTTTTTTTAGGGGTGTTTTTAACTTTCAAAAAGTATTTGGGTTTTCGAGCCGAGCGCACCCTTTTATCAGGGATGGATTGTTTCTGCATGTCTGATTCCATGTATTAAAGGTTACGGAGAATAATTAAGCCACTTTCGTTATTCGCGGTGTTTTGCTAGGCCGTCAGGCCGTTAGGGAGGCCAGTGCTCCATTCTATGAATTGCGCATCGCAATAATTCGGCATGCACTTGTGTCGTTTTCAATGTGGGAACAACTTGTTGGCCACGGCGCATACCGTACTGTTTTGATAGGACTTACAATCTATGTATGTATATACACTATGTACCTCTTAGGTACACTACGCAGTCATTTTTATTTTTATTCATTAATTTTCGACTCGTAATTTTCCATGGCTTGTATCTCCGTCATACCTCGCACGAGCCTCAATCGAAACCTCAAACGGCGGAGTACCCTGAGTAAGTCACGATCATGAGGTCATGGGCCACTCAAAGACGGCATTCAATGCTGACATGTAGGTACAAGTTTTACGTATGTATGAACGACGCATCCACTCTAGGTACCTAGGTATTACCCTATTACGAGGTTTATCTGACAACGGTAGTGATACGTACCTACGTAGTCCACGTAGGCGCAGCCTCCTGCAGGGACCCTCACGGAGAGGCATCCCCTCGGTGTGACTGAAGATCATGTACACTCCGTGCATTTCTGACTAACCTAGCGCTGTACTTTGGCGAATATCCTCGTAGTTTCGATAGTAACCGTTTTGATTCAGGACCCAGGTTGACTTGAAATTGGCTTGAAATGAGATCTTGATTCCAATGTTGACAACCTTGAAATATGCATCTACACCAATGCAAGGTTGAATAAGTTAGCATTAATCGTAGTTAATAACAACTTACATTATACGACTTAGAACTATGTATGTACGCCACAGCAAGATATATGGCATAATTAAGCATCAAGCATGGAATAATCATCATTCCTCTGGGCTGGTATCATTTCGAGCGCATTTTTAATTGTTGATTAAATGCTATTAGATACGGTACCTATGTACCTGCCAAGGTACATAGGTAATTGTCGGCAGCAGGTACCTCTAGCAGCCATTCTATGTAGTACTTGCTAATTTGTACCTACCTACGTGCTAGGTTTACTCTACCCTAGTCCTTGCAAGCCTGAGATCCTTATTATGTAGGGTACATATGTACTTAGTGTACTACCCTGTAGATACATACAGTACAAGCGTTTAAGTTAGTAGGGCGGCCGCACGGTCCAGAAGGCAGAAGGACACAACCCAATAGCCTAACAGTGGCTTTTTTCGACTTGCACACTTCCATCTTTCTGGAGTCGTCTACACACCTACGATTATCTCCTCAATTCTTCATTCACTCCTCCACCTTACCTCAACCGCCACCATACCTGCTGGTCCAATTCCAGAAGCAAATCTTGTGTTTCTAAGATTTGCTCTGGTCTTGGCCGTCCGCTCCTTTGATTTATCCTCTCTTCAATTCCATTATCCTACGTCTATTTTTATTTTGGTTGTTTTTGTAACCAATCCATTGCGAGGGAAGCCGGACGACAATTACACTCACCGACCGCCAGCACAACATTCTGCCTCACCCGACGACGAGGTACAACTCCATATTATAACTTCGTGCCCAGAGTCCAGAAAGCTAGTCATCTGGGCTTTTCGCAAATAAGCGGGAAACTGACCTTTCCTTATCTCAGGCGCCTCAAGCACCACCGTCGCGCATCGTCAAATTGTCATGTCCAATTAGTTTTCTCGATTTCTACGCCTTAAACCATACCCTATACTCGGAAGATACTCTATGATATCTCTCTATATCTAAGTTTTTCCCCCGCTCTCTGCGCCGGGGAGGCTTGAAGGAATAATGGCCACCGTAATTGCTGCTAGTCTCCCGACCGAGACGGCTACATTGAGCGGGGTGAACGATGTCCCATCGCGACAACTCCGTATCTCGACGCATCAAGATGAGACCATGACCCAATCAGCCGTTCCCGGTCCCCAACATTCTTCGCTCATCAACATACCTCCTCCGAACCCGCCCTTCGTTTTTCCAGCCCGCCCGTCACCGTCACCGTCTTCGGCGCCTTCGTCTTTCTCTCGGGCAACAGGACGACGACCCCAGTCCGCGATAGAATTTCAGGGTCGGGCATTTAGCTTCGCTAGCGGGATGGGAGATTACCCCTCTAGATCGCCGGGCTTGCCCGACTTCAGTTTCAACCCGGGCGCCGATCCTAGTCCGAACCCCAGCAGTCAGTTATCCAGATCTCCGGCTCTACCAGATTTCGCATTCAACCCAAGTGCTACTCTTGGTCCCGACGAATCTCTCCTTAGTCCTCCACTCTCTCCTCCGTCGCCAATGATGCTTCCCAACCGTGGTGGCCATCGACGAGGCGGGAGTGAGTTCGTAGGCGGTAAACTGAAAGGGGGAGGGTCGATTACTGTAATGAGTACGAGCCCAACTAAATCTGATAGTGGCATTGCGTCCCCCAAGCTCTCACCTGCAGATATCCCGCCAAGAAGAGGACATGCACACCGCCGCTCTGCCGCAATCTCTAGTCACGATCTGACTATGATACTTAAGCCAAATAATCCGATTTCGAGGGGCAGTAGTGCGCCCAGTAGCCCGGCTGATTTTGACGAGAAATTTCGCAATTTTCCCGAGCCAAAGACGGAACCTCCCAAACCTGAGATAGATCCCCAGCGAGCAAGCGCGGAAGAAGTTCCGGAAGTATGCGTTCAGCCTACGCAGCAGTCCCCTCCATCGCCAAGGGCCACCGCACGTGCGCGAGTTGGGTTCTCCGATACACTTGAATTCATTCCACGTCCTCTGTCGCTGGTTTCAACCGACACATCAAGTACGGTGACAGTTCGCCCTGGCCACCGAGTTTCAGGGAGCCTCTCATCCGTTATTTCGACGAGTTTGGCATCTACAGACCGTGATACTTCTAGTGTGCTTGGATCACCTGGTTCTCGTGCGAAGAATGATTCGCGCCCTAGCACCGCAGGCGCTGT